CCCCAAAACCCCAAAACCCCAAAACCCCATCTCCAAAGAATTATTAAATTAAGGTAATTATTAGAATGCTTTTTTCTGATAAAAAGATATTACTTTTCAAAATCATTTAAATAAGGATAAGTAAAATAAATGGAATCTTTAGCATGCCCAATTTGCAAGTAAAGCTACGAACTTTAGATAGTTGTGCCAGTTATTATGCCCTGTGATCATTCTATATGTGAAATCTGTTACATTGGACTGTATCAGCCATAAGAAGATAATATGATATGCCCTCTAGATAATCAGGAATTCAGCCAGCCAAGTAAGACTCCATACAACAGATCTATAATTGATATCTTGAAGTAAAGAGCTGCTGAGAATATAGTAAGTCAAGAAAATGAAAGATTGATGTGCAAAAATCATAAAGGAGAAGCCCTTATGTTGTATTGCTCTAGACATAACGAGTTTCTTTGTTTAGAATGCAGTCTTTAGCATTAAGATCATTAACATTTATTGGAAGTAGTTGAAGAATAAGACCTCTAGCATTACTTTGCTTAATTGAAAGTAAAAATAGGAGAAAAGCTAGAATTCATAAGATCTTAATATAGCAGCCTTGACAATATGGTTCAAAGTAATTTTAGCAAATCTAGTGTTCAAAATTTAAATGAGCAGATGAATATAGCATTCAAGAGCTTAACAGAACCATTTGTATCAGAAATTAGATATGTAAAGTTTAAGCATATCAATGATGATTAAGAAGATGTTCAAGTTATAGCTACACCAATGGCAGTCAACTAAGTAGTAGAATTAGCTGTAGATTCAAAGATTATATAAAGCGAAGATGATAGAAATTTACTTAAGTAGTGGTTCAACCATTTGATTATTAGAAAATGTTCAAAGATATTCGATATTGCAGCTGATAATTCAAGACTAGAAAATTTTCAAGAAAAATGCCATAATGTTGGACCTCTACTTTGCATTATGAGATCTACAAATGGCTTTGTATTTGGTTCCTTTACTACAAAATCACTTACAATTAGAGATTTAAACGACCTTTACTAGAATGATTGGGACTCCTTCTTATTTTCAATTAATAGGAAACAAAAATTAGTTCAGAAAAATAAGACAAAATTCTCATTTTGTCATAGTAGTAAAGTCTTTTTAATGTTCGGTATACATGATTTAAGAGTATTCTCGAGGTGTGAGCTACACAATAAAAACTCTTCAAATGTGGGTACCATTTATTTCCCTGAGGATAGAATGGATATCAAGAAAGACAGTGAAGAAGCATTGACCTATTTGGCCGGTGAACATGAATTCAAAATTGAGAGTTTAGAGGTATACTCTATATAATATGAGTTAATTAAGTGATTAAATTCTTAATATTTGATATCAAAATGATATTGGATTTACGGGGTTTTGGGGTTTTGGGGAGATCGGAAGAGCGTCGTG